CACACACACACACACACACACACACACACACACACACACACGCACACTCTTGTAAGCTGAATTTAAAAGAGAGAAAGAGAAAGGCTCTCTTTCTTTCTCTCTTCTCCCTTCCTCCCCTGCCCGCCTGCCCGCCTGCCCGCCTGCCCGCCTGCCCGCCTGCCTGCCTGCTGCCTGCCTGCTGCCTGCCTGCCTGCCTGCCTGCCTCCCCTCCTCCCTCCCTTTCCCCTCCCTTCCTCCCTCTCTCCCTCTTTCTCTTCTCTGGCTCTCTCTCTGTTCTCTAAATGTACATATGCATGTAAAAATGCTATCGGCACAACATGGGTGTATCATCATATCATACTGAAGCTAACCAGCCACTTTGAATGACGATGAAAGGTGAAACAAGGTCAGTGAGCAATGATGCTTGTTTGTATAGATTGACCCTAATGCTACAACCTAACACTGTACCTAATTCGAAGAACGATGTTGTGATTACCGCAGTCAAAAAGCATCGCTTATATTTTCGGAAAGCCATAACCTATGCTTTTGGCCACCTAAGTATTACCTAATGTCAACCTGACCTAGATGTTATTAGCTGATCGGAATGAGCCGGCCAAAACATAATTGAATTTCTTTGAAAGATTACCACCAAGATACCAAAGCATTAGAAAGATATTCAATAGTGCTTTAGTCGATTTTAGAGATTAATTCAAAGCCAGATGGTGGGGTTTCATCGTTATCAGTCATCGATATATCGAAGGCGCGCTATCGAAGAGGCTCTTAGGAGACAAAGGCCGCTACAGACTAGCATTTCATGAGGCGTTGTTTAGTCACGCAGAATGAGTCGTCACATTGATAGCAGCACACAGTTCCGGTCAGGAATCTTCGAAATGATCTGCGTATGCTTATGGAACATCCATAAGGCCTCTGTGCCGCATACATACTGCCCTGCAATGGATCATGGCGACTTGCTCATAAGTTTCTCGGTCAAGAGTTCCGGCATCAATCGCCGGAATCGGCGGGGGGAATAATGACTATAACTGAGCTTTGATGTGGAATGCATATTTTCTTTCCCCTCCTGAACAAATAAATTATCATTTGTTGCATTGGTTTACATGTTATTACGTTCGAAGTATACGTCATACTAATTTAACATAAAGCCTGAACATGGCATGCTTTTGTGTCACGAGTCACGCTCAGCGCCGAACAGGCATGCCATCATCTGCTGTCCACCTCATACCATCAGCTCTTGCAGTATTGAGGCATTCGAACCGTTTGGTTAACTGAGAGCGGCAAGAGATATCGTTGTCACAGCATTGCAAACTCAAGATGCCGGCTGGGTCGTTGCTAAATCAAAAACACACCATCAGCTGATGGTCAATTATCGTGGCACCATTGACGAGGATTGCACGTTGTCGGCAACGTATAACTTCGTCGCGTTGCACCACCGGTCCACAATTAAAGATTTATACCCAATTCAAGAGTGTATATGAGACAGGTGCATATTAGAGATAGGTGCATATTAGAGATATATTTCGTTCCAGTTAACACGGACCCGAAGAGCCCATGAACCGATGCAGCACAATTAGAGCTGCCCTTGAGCATGAGTCAAGCTTTCTCTCAACTCAGGCCCTCCTGCCGTCCCCGTACACAGGGGCGTTCAGAAGTGCGCAACACGTGTCGCCGGGTTGGATTTGTGGAAGCGGACCGACATCATGCGCCACCGGCTGCACCTACGGTCGCTGGGCCGGGATCTGGGGTGTATTCGCAGCGACTCGGACGACGCAGAATCAATACTGTCGACGTCACTCATGACGTCAAACCCCATAAATTTTGCGCCGTTTGCTGTTCGCGGCGTCCCGGACGACAAATTTTCTACGTGACGTCACGTAGAGCTTTGCCGGACGGGCAGAATCTGCGACTCAATCGCAGTGAAGCAGAAATTTATTATTATAAATATATTATTATATATTATAATATATATTTATAATAATACAATTTCTATTAATATATTATTAATCGAGCTCAATTATAAATAGGTCCGTGCGTGCGTAATTTTGTTTTTTAAAAAACGCCCCGTGCGTGTCCAGAAGCGACCACGAGTGATGGAGGAGTGCTTGATGTAAACGTTTCAAAGAGCATATATGCAGTTTACATTCTTAGGGGCGCTTATCGTGCCTGAAAACAAAATCAAAGGGGAATGGCATTGGCACCGGTAGTGGACTTTTTGGCGCTCAACTGAACTGTTTGGCGCTGTCTGAGGAAAAATGCCCTCGAGCGAAAGTCCACCCTGATTTGGCGCCCGCTTTGGCGCCGTACGAGAACCGAATCGTAAAAATATGTGTTGTGTCCCAACGAACCACTGTTTTGAATGACAGCAACTGTCTTTATAGTGTCATACTCAGCAGCACCACTTTGAAACATGCCTCTTGCTTGTGTCACATTGGTTTGGCTTATGAGATAAATACGACATTTGCTGGCGCTCGCCTTGGACTTTGGCGCCGTAAGGGTCCAGAATAACTTTGTGCTAGCTTTAAAAACAAATTTTATTTTTTCGCTTTGGGTGAAGAAATTAGTTGGCATTAGCGTGCATAAGGTATATCAAATTATGCTGTCCTTATTCTAGATACTCTGAACTATTGCGATGCATTCATATGCTCTCATATTCTTGTGGCACAACATTTTCCATTTTTCGACTTCCAAATTTTGCGTGAGAATCCATGAGGGAATCATACAACTTTCATTTACTCTTACAAAGTATCTTCAGTTTAGGTTTCGGTACCAAAGAGCGTACGGACTATCACGAATCTTTAAATAAGTGAAAGAGGAGCTTGACGGCATATGAGCTCAGGGCAGTTAAGTTCATTTCTTAGTGAAAATAGTCCAGAAATTGAAACTTTCCATTTATGAAAGAAATACATCCAGTCTGGGCCCCATTACAGCGCGTTCTTCTCGCTGCTCGTACGGCGCCATTGAGGTGGGCCAAGGCGCCATTAGGCTATGTTATGCTGATTGTCCACCCACAGCGGCCTTCAGAGAGCTACGTTTGGCGCCGTATGTGGAAGACATTCGAAGGTATGTTGTTAGAACAAATAAGTGCACCTTAAACAGCACACGGCCACCCATGAGACTTCAGCATTAAAAGGAGCGTACTCAGAGCATGCTAATACGGGGTAGATTAGTCTTTCCGTTGTCAAAATATGTCAAAAATGGACGTTTTGCATTCGCAGAAACGTTCAATATGAGCGACATTGCGGCGAATGTGCGTCTTACGATGCGATTACGTAGTCTTAGGCGCCATCATGTTGACTGCACACTTTCAGAGCATTCAGAAAACTTAAGGTTGGCATTGTATGAGGAAAATCCCGTGAATGATGCTCCCATATATTAGTTTTGGATATGGGCTATATCCTTCTTGGATTGGGCTCAGATGTTCTTTCAAATAAATTATCTTTGGACATTCCAGACTCAGACCTTTTCAGATTTATTAATTTTTGACATTCTAACCGCTACAATGGTATATTGATTCTAAATTGCTCCAATAAGAGTTGTCTTTCCATAAAAGTGCGGGTCAGCACCGTTTCAACCACCCATGTATCACATTTGCTGCTGTGAATTAGCTTAAGAGCAGAGGTGCAGTTTCCTATTCAAGGGGGCTTCAGGCCCCCCCCCCCCCCAGCTTTCAGCAGAAAGTGGGAGGGGGAATCCTGGGTTATCCTGAAATTCTCATCTCGAAAAGGACCCTCTGTTACGTCCAAATAGGCCCTGTTTGCGAAATTTGGGCCTGAAAACAGGACCCCTCGCAGAGTCTTGACCTTGAATGAGGGTCCTCTCGCGCCCAGAGACTATTCACGCCTCTTCAGCCAGGAACGTAGCGTAGCCAGGATTTGGCCCAGAAGGGAGCCAAATTGGATTGCAAGGGTTCTTCCAGTTAAGAGCCTCCTTATCACTTAGCCGCTCTGTTGTTTGCCAAACGTCTTCCTCCGAGAGCCTTGACATCTGAACAACTCTCT